ACAAATGAACCTTATGTTAATTGTTACCTCTGAAAACAGCAAATGTGTTGAATACAAGATTGACTTAGTCCTCTTCGTTCCGACCGGAGTGGGGGTGGAGGGGTACTCCCTTATATGGGCTATATAGGTATGTGCGGTCCCAAACAGAATGGTTTTTCAGCAGTTTTGGTCATAAATAAGGTATTCGTTTTGGTGATTTTGGCCATTTTGGTCATAAATAAGGCATGGTTTTTGCACTCTGATAGTCTTGAATTATTCAGTATATTTCGTAGAAGAAGCTACATTACAAACGCTCTTCTTAACTTATGATTAAGGCAACTTTGCCAGCCACAACGGTCGTAAATAGAGTATCGAATTTTTGGTAAAGGCGTAAATAGGGTAGCAAAAATGGCAGATTTTAGTCATAAATGGGGTAAGGGTTTTGGGAAGTGGGCCGCAAACCCCCACCCAACTTTTCTGGGAGTAACCTCCGGGGTTCTGACGAGAGCATAGGACCTCCACAACAGCTTTCCATCAACCCAGTTTTGTGTGGTCAGTTTCACTTGATTCCATGTCATTCGCAAGTCCTCATGCTCCTGCTGTATAGTCCTTCTCCATGACTTCTTCAGTCTGCCTGTCCTCCTAGCCCCCGTGAGGATTCCACTCATGGGACAGGTGGGTGATGGTGGTGGCAGGTTTCCTCAGAGTGTGGCAGATCCATCTCCATTTCTGGCTCCATATGGTAACATCAGCTGTTACCATACAGAATACAAGTTTGTCCAGTCATAACTAGTGCAGGCAGCCAATGTTTGATTCATTATGGCAAATGAACAAGCTGCTGTAATAATCATGTGCAACCATTAATCAATAGGAAAAATTATTCTTGTGTAGGTTGCCCATAAAAAGTGATCAAGAAAGATGCTTGGCTTGGATTAGACAAGGACTAAAGGAAAACACGCTTGCTAGTTACCTGAATGTCATCACCCAAGATGAAAAGTTCCTAAGGCATTGTTTCTAATATTATAATTATATTGTAATTTATTTAAATATATATTTTATAATGTAAGACTCATTAGTAAGTGAAATATAAAAAGGCTTTGGTAGATAACATGAAAATATCATCATTATTGTCCTCCACTGCGATGTGGAAAGTTAGTAGCCTAATGTGGTGCACCCTGAAAGGTCTGGGTTCAAGCCCTGAAGAGCACTGCATAATGAATTCTTGGGTTTTGAATGATTTCTCTCCACTCAGAAGTTAGATTGGGCACTAGTTAATTATTAACCTAAAGATGGCACTCTGACAATATGATAAGGCATCGTAGCTAGAGAGAACTGAAATATTCCTAATTANCAGGTATGCAAACCATTAGTTGCGGGAGGATTGGGTTCCATTCATTTATTACAGCTAGACAGACCTGTTTTCATCATTATAGCAGATCTGGTGGCTTAATCATTAGGCCACAGATGGTTAACATCATGGATGTTCTTTTCTTCAACAAGGCAATCACTCTCACAGTATTAGCATTCTAGTAGAAAAAGCTGACAAAAACTGTGATGGATTTCCTTGTCATCCAGTAGCAATATTCCTTAATGCTTCATGTTACAGTAGCTGTGATGCTGTTCATACTGTGATAAGCTACGGCAGGGTGGGCCTAATGGCCAAAGTGTGATTTAAGCTTTTTCTCTTCAGTGTTAGTCAGATGATACAGTTAATATTCCCTTCAGGGTAACTGCCCATCAGTGAAGAGATAGGCTTGATTTGTGCCACTCTCTTGTATTTGGTCTATGTCTCTCCCCAGCAAAACCTTCTGAAGATATCAAATTTAGTAATAACTCACTTATTAAATATTTTATTTTTCATAAGGCAATATAACACACCTACCTGAAAGATCAAGCCTAGTTAATGGTTATGGTTCACCCTCAAACAGCTGGAATGGACGCGAACTCTGTTCTCATTGGTACAGCCAAGAAACTGGAAGTTTGAAAATTGAGGAAAGTGGAAAGAAAAAGAAGAAAAAGAAGAAGGCAGGGGTGGCAATGATTGCTGAGAGTGCAGATGTTGAGGAATCACATTACATTGAGAAAGTTATTCAAATGCACAGAGATTTAGATTTGGAAACATCTGACAAAGAGACGAAAACAAATGTTAACATAACTGAAGATGATCAAAGTTCTGAAAAAAGTAAAACTACTGACAATGATTTAACAAGCGAGGGAGAAACAAGCCCTGTAACCTCGTTAACAATGGAATTACCAGTGACAGAAACATTACTTCAGAAAATGATTACAGACAAAGTTCAACAGTCTTCGAGTGTTGTTCCTAAGGCTAAGCCGAACTGTGTTATGTCTGAAGAAATAACAGTAAATGGGACTATACAACTTGAAGGGAGAGCTCTTCATCATAAGGAAGACATTTTAAATGCAGTTGAAGGCAAAAACAAAGAAAGTGACTTGATGATGGAAGGGCTGGATTCAAAGTTTAAGTCTGGTGGCAATACTGTTTGTGAGCAGTTGTCTGTCCATGAATCAAATCTCATCGAAGATACATGCACACAAATGGTAGAATGCCAACTGTCATCTCAAAATCCTTTTGAAGGTTTAATGGATGACGAAAATGATCATGATCCATCTAATAAGGTAGCAGAAGAAGTAAATGTTGCTAATGAGACTGAAACTACAGAGCACTTTGCTGCGTTGGCAGCTTTTGAATGCGGTACACCAAAACAAGTTGACAGTATGTGGCAAATTGAAAAAGAGAGGGCTTTGTCTAATACAAGTTACGAAGGTGAAGACTTGAACATCATTCCTGGAATCCACAAAAATGCTGACAGACATTCACTAAGTGGAAGTTCTGGTAGCTTTAATGGATCAGGTTCATTTCCACTTGGTTCACAAAGAAGTAGCAAGAACAATACTATGGATTCAATTTATCGAACTTCGACATTTGGAAGCTCTACGGCATCTGACTCTTGGCTATATAGAAGTGGCTCATCAAGTAGAAAGAGCTCTAAAGCTGATGTGGGGTTCAATGTTGGCTCCCCTGGTAGTGAATTTAGTGAGTACGAGATGTTTGATGAATTGCTTGGATTAGAAGAGGATCACTTCTCTCCTCCTGAGGTACACACATTTGGTTTTGATTAAAAATAATAATTTTTGAACCAATTTTATTTTTATTTTTTTTTTTTTAAAGCAACCTAGTAGTTTTTACCACTGTCAAGGGGTGTTACCACTAAGGGGTGTTTATGAAAATTTTAATTTTCATTCTGTTTATAGACATGTTAAAATATATATAAAACTGAACAGAATTTTTAAAAGGCTAGAAATCTAGGAAAAATGTGGTAGAAGTACCTGGAAAGAGTAGGAAGAATTGGTTGTGTAGTATAGTGCATATGCTACATGATGTCATGACTTTAAATTTGTGGTACAATTTCTATCATAGGTTTAGTTACCTTGTGTAGAGTAGGATTCACTCTTTCATGAGGCTTTCATTAGTCATTGTTGACACAATAGTAATCCGGATATACATGTCTTATTTGGATTTTCCTTTGGATTGGCACATTTCTTTGGCATATACACCTGAATTTATTTATTTTAGTACATTGATCTATGATCCTGTTGTGTATTTTCCCATAGTCCTTCATGGGCGTGTCCACTTCAGAAGAACTACGCCATGCCATAGATGCCTGTAAAGATCTCATTAACACAACACCTGAAGACTCTGACGAGAAAAACAAACTTGTCAACAAACTGGTCCAGCTCAGGCTGAAACTCCAGGAAACACAGGTCTGGTGTAGAGTTAACTTGAACTCCCTTTCAAATTGTAATATAATTTGTTACTCCAAATACAGTTATTTTGTAGTTTTCTATAACACGCTGATTCTTTGTCTTCCTTTGCAATTTTGACCCTGCAGGATTCCAAAACAGCGAATAATTCTAACGCGCGAAAAGTTCTGAGCCATGTGTTTGTCAAGGAAGAAGACGCAGGAAAAAAGTTAAGCTGTGATAAATGTGGGAAAACAATCTGGATGTGGCAGTCACTCTTCACATGCAAAGGTACTGATAACTGATTTCTTGTTTTGTTTTGATATTGTGCGGTGTGATAAGAACTTTGAGTTATCCAATTAGAAGGTTCTTCCAGCTCCTTAAACTTTTTCTTGAGAGTGATCAAGACTTTTACGTTCTTGAGCAAGTCGTTTAAGGTTACTGTAGACCTTCAGGGGTGCCTTCCGGAAAATACTTTCTTTGCCCACTGCTTTAAAGAACCTCGGTAAATTATATATCATTCTAAAGCTAATAAATTGTAGAATCTGAAAATAACAATATAGTTCGCCATTTTTGTTTTGGTGGGCACTTGAAAGCCTTAAAAGCAAAACTGACCTTACTTACTTCTTGTTTTGTTTTGATATTGTGCGGTGTGATAAGAACTGAACGTTCCTTGAGAGTGATCAAGACTTTTAAGTTCTTGGCAATACCTCTCTCTACTCAAGAGTGTAAATACGCTCAAGCAAATTCCAGAGGGGAGGGCAAACTTGTAATAGACTAGCGCGCCTTCCGGGAATGTACGAATACTCTTAAGCGCTAACACTAGGCTGTGTGTTCACAACCCGGCTCCCTGTTTAAATTGTAATGTTGGATATCCAGTGCTTGTAAAACTAACTTGTTTTGTTGTCAGCTTGTAATTATCACAGCCACAGACGTTGTTTGGAGTTGATTCGCAGACCCTGTGCCAGTCGCAAGGTAAGAACTGGGTGTCACGGCCACGAAACTGGTACCTACATTAGTATTTCTATGAATGAGCTCTTCCTCCCAGAATCTCTCGAGCCCGCGGTGTTGCAAAGCTACATGACGTGTTTTCATGAGGTCATGTTGACGTCACGCCGTTCAGAGAATTCATGGATCCACTTGGCAAAAAATTGCACTTGTTCCTTGACTAAACGAAAGCCATATTCGTGTACGCGACTACAGCCGAGAGTATGTACAACGACCTCGAATAGTTGGAACTCGCGCCTCTTATGATTTCTTTTCATTTTCCGAAAAATTTCGCTGGCACATATTTACTCTTATCATATGACCCGTACGGCATCGCGTGCAATTTCCTTGGAAAACCATGAGAGAAAAGGTCCCGTATGAGGGCCGTATGCGTCGAAGTGATAGGGCCGGAAAAACGCGTACGGTCCTACCAGAAATGCGTACGACCTGCAAGGAACGCGTACGGCAAAATCGATGCAAGTTAATGACAAAAACAATTTTTTTGCTGTAAAATTCTGTTTTCAAAATAAGTGATGGAAGTGAACATCTGAGAGCGAATTTTACTATCCAGAACTACTTCAGTCGCCGTTTAACTCCGAAAGCACAGAAAGAAAGTCAACTGAACACTCCTCACAAATGAAGAAGTTCACAACTTTCTCAGAAGCCAACAACAAGCAAACAGGCGGTCAAGAAAACAACTTTTCCGGATGAACTGTCCGATAATTAACCTTTGGAATAAGCGGACAGACTCTTGAGGCGAAACTTCTTTCAGTGGAACTTATCAAGAATTCATCGTGGGTCAAAAGCAAGAAAACAACGTGAAGAAAGCAAAGTACGATATAAATGTTTTCTTCAGTTTTCTTCGAGTTTCCAGAGCTTCTGGGAGAAGTTGGTTAAACCAGAGAAATCACAAACATACCTTGTGTACAATAGGAAAAATTGCTCTGCAGTTTCCACATCAGTGTTGTTTGAAGAGACAAAAGGGAGCTTAAGCAAACCACGACGACGACGGCAACGAGAACGTCACCAAACAAAAGGTTTAATGTAGCTGTGCACGTGCGTTATAAATCTTTGCACGTTTCTTTGTCGTACTGTGCAAACAACGTGAACTGACCAAGTTCTGCGTCGTCTACGAAACGTGGACGACGACGGCTAATTTTCGCATTTCCGGTTGGAATTGAACGCTGTCATCGCATATTTAGCCAGAGCACGTTTTTAGAGCCATTGGCGGACCGAACAGATCTAGACAATTGCGAATTTCGCTGGTAAAATATAAATTCATTTTTTAACTATGCGTCGTCCTCGGCGGCGTCGTCGTCGTCGGCTCCTTAAAACTGAGTACAAACTTGAATTTCCTGTTCGAAGCGAAGAAATAAATGACAAGTTTTATTCTAGAATCTTTTCTGTAGTTGTTCCGCGCGCGGTCGACTGATGTTATGTAATCGCGTCCTATTTAGGTTCAAACAGAATTTTTAAAATTTTCAACACTAAGTGGTCATAGGCTAAAATGTTTATTGACTGAGTCAGGTCAGGCCGGACGGGAAAATATTTGGCTCTCGGTCAGGACGCACGGACCTCGAACCAAGTATTTTCCCGTCCGGCCCTCCCACTTAGTCAATAAGTACATAATCTTTATCGCTCTTTTACAAAAAGCTTCTCCGCCACTCGTACTACTGCTGCTAGTTATGGTAATTGTAGTCATTTCGCCCTTTTGGAAAAACAAACAAAGAAAAAAGCAAGTCATTTTCGCATGTTTAACGACAAGAACGAGACATCACTGACGTCTTCGTGGATAAAAGACTTGATGTCTTGTTCTTCTCGTTATTCCAACACACTCCTGACCTCGGCGAGTCAAATTTCCCAGAGGTTTTGCATGTTTGTACAGCAGATATTAAACGGTCAAGAAATGTTTTCCAAGAAATATTTTTTGTAGTCATTGACTCGTCTTTGTTTCTTGACAGGTGTCCGTCAGTACGTACAATTTAAAGATTAGTCCAGAGACAGGGCTGTCGTCACAGCAGTATAAGTGTGCCGAATGCAGGAAACAGATAGGATTGACAAGTGAGTTTTAACGGGAAGAAAAGTCATAAGATTTATATCTAAGAAGTGCTGAATGACGCCCCAGTGTCCAGATGTTTTTTGATCATCGAGGTTTATTTGATTGTAACTAATACCAGATTGTCTGCAATGAAATAACTCAATTGGTGACGGCTAGACTATCTGGTTCAAAAATAACTCAAGAAAGTTCAAAAGTAATAATCAAGCAAAAGCTGTCTACGACTGGGGCACGATTGAGACTGATTAAAAATAAGAACTTTGAAGTAGATTGCCAAAGTGAAGGTAGTAAAGGTAACTTAATCGGCGACACGAATCTGGAAAAAGCTGTTGTTCCGAGCATTAGTTAATTTACAACACTCCAAGTTGATAATCTACTTGTGTTTTCCTTTCTCGCTGCCACACCTCAACAGTTTCTTTTGGGATCTAATCACTTCGTGGAAAAAAATTGGTTGTAGTTTTTAAGAAGTGCCTGCATCCAAGCTGCAATTTTTTTTTTTTTTGGCTTACACCTCTTAAAAACATCTCATGTTAAAATTTTCAGGGGGTGAGCGTTCAGAAGGAAGGCTTTGTGATTACACAGGGCAGTATTTCTGTGAAGAGTGTCACTGGAATGATCATGTTGTAATCCCCGCACGTGTTGTACACAATTGGGACTTCACCACGTATAAGGTATTCACTTCCAACGGCTTCAGTATTTCGCCGTGAAATTGTGCATCATATCCCTTGCTGTATGTATCATTTATTAAATGGCCTACACATGCATGGAAGCAGCTTGTATATCGAGCAGTTCACTCGCTTATCACCTCAAAACTGATACTCCAATTTGAAACAAAGCTAACGGATTTTAGTTGCTCGTCGAAGCGTCGCATTTCCTTCAGAAAGTCAAACAGATCCCAGAATTAATTTTACAGGACACAAGCCTTGCCATGCCCATGATTGAACTCTAATCTTGAATTTGTGTGTCAGCTCTAAGCCCCGAGGTGTTCAACATCAGATATCTCGTCGCCAGGTATATCTATACACACTGAGGTATTAAGGTTACAAGATATTCGTTATTCTTAAAAACAATTTAGTTCTCCCAACTAGGACAATCAGACGAAATGTTAAGTGATCTGTAAGGAGGATTTGTTTAGTAACCTTGTGAGTAACAGTCGTAACACGAAGAGAACCCACGAATTGAGCCTGAGCTAATACAGGTGCCAGAGAGCTTAGACCACGCAACACATAAGTTATTCCGCCACTTTTGCGAGCTTAAATCGAACCGAAGGCGAATCTATAGAGGTGAACTGGGGAAAGAAGGAGGGCTTTTTAAATAAAGGAAACACAACGGCTTGGTTTGCTTGTGTTCTGCTATCGCTGCAGCTGTCATCTGCAGCATGTCCGGAGCAGTTCCTCTTGTAGGCTCGCTTCGTGTTTAATCACAGGAGGTAAACACTTTGTGTGAGTTGTTTCCTGTTCACTCAGTTATAACAGTTTTCTGTCTCCTTCTCTCTCATGATTCAGGTTTCAAGACAATCGAAACAGTTCTTAGCTCTCATGGCCAGCAGGCCACTGTTAAAGATCGAGAAACTAAACCCGGCTCTGTTCAAGTTTGTTGTGGAATTGAGAGAAGTCAAGGTGAGATTTACGATTAATAATGAGCCTTAAATAAAATAACTTGAGATACAAAGTTGTCAAAACGCTTAGCTATAAGAGTGAGCCGTCACAGCCTAGACTTAGGGTCAAGGGCTGAAACAGCTCACCAGCCAGTATACAGGTATTATGCAAAAATGTAATTCGAACGATCAAGTGTCTCTTCAGTAAACCTCTCATTGTTTGTCGTTTGTCCTCACTCAGTCGGTCACTGAATTTTCTTCCTCCCGCAGTTTTGTTCTGGTTACAATTTATAGTGTGCTATTGATTATCTTTATTTATAGGGCGTCTCCCTGCGCTCGGTGTTATTTCACAGATTTTCCCCATATCATTCCTTTCCAATGAGTTTTGTGTTGTGGATAGTGTGCCCTCTGCGTCCATTCAGGCCCAGGTTGAATCTCTGTATGATTGTGTTTGTTATTGTCTTCAGCGTCTAAGAGAAGAGATTCTCATTATGAAGAAGTACTTTGTTACTTGCCGTGAGGCCTTGGAGAGCAAGCTACTGCTCCAGGTATGTGTTTAACTAGTATACATGTAACTACTGCTTCTGATCGAAACAAGCTTGAGGTAACTGAAATGTAAATGTGCTGTTATTTGATTCTTTTTTTTTTTTTCTGAGTAGAGTTCTTCAATGACTTTTAATTTTAACTTAACAGAGTCCATTGATTGGCTAGAAACGAGTGCATTGTACCCCAACCAATCAGAGCAAACCTTTTCTGTGCGTTTGTGTTTATGTATGACATGAAGCGTGTAATAACGCTTGCTGTACGAAAACTCTCATCTCGTTACCAGGCCCTTTCCCTTCCTCCTCGTAGTGGTACACTGCTATGACTCTCGCCTTCTAATGTAATGGATCCGGGTTCCAAACCAACAATCCTCGTAAGTTCTTTATATTAGCTGTTCGCTTATAACAGGAGGAGAAAAACAATCTTTCCTTAGCGTCTCACCTGTGACATTGTTTTGTTTTGTAGCTAAAAAACAGACAGCACTTCGTGGATAGTGCCAACATTTACTCACTTGAAGATCTGATTGATGTGAATTCTGGCTTGCTTTTACCCTTTCTTACAAAGGTTCACTCTCTTTTCCTCACACATATCAAATCGGACTGTCAGGTATGAAATCTGTTTGGCTGTTTGAGATTTATCAGGCTGTAAATAACAAAACAGTACGATTTAGCAGCAAGAATATAGGGCACGAAATGGGCTGGATAATTTTACCTGTTTGGCGCGGGGATATTATTGCGTGTGGAATACGCACGGAAAAAGGAGTTACGCGAAGTTTCAGAATGAGCAGGTGCAATTAAATGAAGGTGGACGACTACAGAAATATGTCAACATCTCATCGTTATTGATTTTGGCGTCATAAGGCTGTAGCGTACGTGTCGATTTTATGACAAATCGCTGGTGCACACTGGCCGAATTTTAATCGCATCCATACCCATGTTTCTTTGGTTTAAATTTTTTTTTTTATATTACAAATAGTCTGTAGAACTTATTACCTTGCCCAAGGAGTTCAACTAGCGACTGCCCCGCTAGTTTAAAGGTCAAATGAACCAAAATTTAGACTTCTTTTCTTCAGCCATTTTATAGCGACGAAATGTTAAAAAAAAAAACATATAAAAGGAAACTTATGCGGAAATTTTTCTTTCTGAGCCGTGAAAAGGAATAAAAAAAGTTGAAAGTACGAAGACAGCCGATGGCTTCTCGAAAACGTTTCCAAAATGACCGCGCACTTCAATGGAAGGAATGGAACTGAGACTGGCTTTGTGACGTCATTGTTGTCTTAAACATTGCTGCGTTTCTGCGTCAGTGAGTCGTCCGTGGAGAAGGTTTTGGATCTAAATACTAACCTCATTTTACTTGGGGAATGGCCGAGGAGTTCGCCCGCTGTTCGGCGGGCATTATTCTGTTTTTCGTTGTTTTTTTGTCCGATTGCCGGCTTACAACGTTCCTTAGTGAAGTTAAAAATCGTCGGTACCGCGTCTTTCTTGACTACAAGTTGACGGAGCTTGAAAGAGGGTCCCAACAAACTCCTTACTACAAGATTTCGTTCGAAAGCTGTCTTCGGTTAAGTGTTTTACACAAACGCGCGAATGCTTCGAGGGCATGAAGCATTCTCTTTTCATTTTTATAATCCATTCTCTTTTAAGTTTTGGGTCCTGGGGGAACTTGAAAGT